ATTTAGCATTATTATCACTTTAACCTTCAGATCAATTTATTGACCTTCAAGGACTGGACAGACTGTCACATGATATTTTTAATCTTTATATGGTACTGTCGACATGTTGACAGTACACACCACACTTATTACAAACATAGTTTTGAAGTTATGAGGCTTTTTCATCAATTTGCAACCAAGAAATCATTAAGCTGACCTTGGAGACCTTGTTGGATGTTGGGCAAATTAGTTAATGGATTGCTAACATGACCCCCTATCTCTACACCCCTACAAATTTTTATCAGAATTCTTTCCAAAGGTCATGTTAGCACTTACAGATAGGATGACATGCACGTATGCAAACGCTACCAAAAACACAACCATCACGCGGTAATAATCAGCGTACAACAACACACTTATTGATTTCTGTATCTGCAGATTTCTGTATCAGTGAGCTGTCTTGCACACCGTGAACGTTGATCCTCTCCGTCTCATGAGCATGGCCTGCAGAGGGTTGCACACGCTGCAAGTTAATTCTATTAGCAGTGCTGGCAAATGTGCTTTGTGGTGGGTAGCCAGGTCTAGCATGACAATACTCAGTCCCAGGAGAAAAGCTGATAGGCGACTGTGCACCGTGAATGTTACAGAGGCATCAGAATAATGTCATGTTAGCAGTGTGAGCCAATGCCACGCTGTAGCACTGAAGCAATATAAAGAGAAGCCATAGATTTCTGCTGTACTTACAGGGAAGAAGGTGATCCTGTATCACTGCTGCTGAGGCCTGGAACCCTGTGCGTGAGTGTGTGCATGTGTGTGGTATGTACATGCCAGTGGGTGTGCGATGAGACAGATGAAAGCCGGCTCAGGTAAGGTAGATAAAACAGTGTGCCCGTGTGTCCTTGCTGAAGAGCAGACTGGAAGGCGACTGCTACCGGTCAGACACTGAGTGACATTAAGGCTTCATCCACTAAACACGGCTGTCGCACACTGGTGACGCAGCGCATGTGACAGCCTTCCCCAAACCACCAAGAGATAAACGATGCGCTGCTGATCACAGCAACTTTGCACAGCAAGTTTCAGCAAAACCAGCATTCAAATATTACAGAAACACTTCATATCCTGGAATACAATAAAAGCACCTTTTCTCTATACAGTGACAAAGTTGGCTCATGAGATGTCCACCCTGCTGAAATCTGTCACGACGAATCTGTGTTTTAAATTTAAATTTACCTGAAAGCGAAGGATGATGGTCCAGATAAGGCCCAGGGTAAGGCGATGGTTTCCGTCCACAATGTCATGGGAACCGACGTTTTCCAGGTGAACCCTCTGCTCTTTAAGAAACTGCAGTGCTTTGTCGACGTTCTCCAGGCAGTGGATCCGCATTCGACCTCGTGTGGGCCTCGGCTGTGGCAGGAAAAAGAGTTTGAGTACTTGTAATAAGATAACTGTTATTATTGACACACTACATGCGGGACTATAGCAAACATTGTTAAAATAATAACAAAGACAGTCAAAAGGTTGGATTTACTTTTAGAAATGACAGACATAAAAACCACTGGGGAGAATCTGGGGATATTTTTATCACAAGGGCAAGTCCTTTCTTACAACTGCCCCCACTGTGAAATAAAGGAAAACTTAAGGAGACATCATATACCAGGCAAAGTGGTAACTGACTGGTAACAAACAGACAGACAAACAAAGACAGAACTGATTACATGCTCCCTCCTTTCAAGTGGAAAATAACCAGAAAAGGGCTTTCTGCAGAGCCAAAGACCCTGGACACTACGGGTCATAGGATTTTTTAAATGTTCTAATCTGTGAAGTTTACAGACGCCCTTCAAATTTGTTTATTAGATTTTTTAAAAGTCCGTCAATGAGGGCAAATATTCAGTCAAAATGAAATCAGCCAGGAAGAA